CTTTTGCGAGGTCCCTAACTCCCATGAATGTGGAGGGGTGACTGTATTATTGAACCAGTTTTGCCTTATTCAGAAACCAAGACTGGCATTCATAGAGTATGTGTCTCTTCATTCCTGAAAGCAAATGTGGAGAACATATAGTAGGCCCTTGGTTCTGCTGGGGTTTGGTTCCAGAACACATTCCCCTCCTTCCCATGGATACCAACATCCATGGATGCTCACATTCCATTATATACGATGGCATAGTAAAATGGTGTCCCTTATATAAAATGGCAAAATCAAACTTTGCTTTTTGGAACTTTTTTGAGCGGAATATTTTAAAGTAGTGGATACTTGAATCTATGGATGCAGAATCCATGAATACTGAGGGCCATTTATATTTTTGGCCCGAAGGCTATGTAGCTGGCTTTCTAGAGGCCATACGGGTAGGGATAAAGCAAGAAATAGGAGAGGTTTTCTGAAAGTGAACTGACTCCATTCCCACACCAATTCATAACAGGGATTCTTCCTCACAAGTAAACTGATTGTGAATCTAGATGTGAACGGCCAATTTATGCCAATGAGAAGCTTTTAAAAGAAGTCTAATTGGCATATGCAAGTGATTTTGGAGAATAATTCTCAATGTGTAGTGAGAACAGCTTCAATTCCCCCCTCCCCATTTATATCACTCAGCTTAACCTGTTTTACAGTCTTATGAGAATACAATTGTTCAGGAGATGAACAGAGAGAAGAACTACACAAAGCTGCTATAGCAATGGGCAGGAAGCCCCTTATATAGGGTTGCCGGAGGGGGGCAAGGCTCCTGCCAAAAGGCTTCTACTAAATTCTCTCATACTAGAACCCTGGTGGCGCAGTGGTTAAATGCTGGTACTGCATTTGTGATCAGTTCAATCCCAGCCAGGGGCTCAGTCTAGCGTCCTTCCAAGGTCACTAAAATGAGTACCCAGCTTGTTGGGGGCAATTAGCTTACAGTTGTAAACTGCCTATAGACTGCTCAGTGTGGTATAAAGTGGTATATAAATAGCTATTGCTATTGCTGCTAAATTTTAGAAGGTTCTGACCAGTGCACAAAATGTTTGGGGCACAGGTGCAGGATAACCTCATCTGTGTCAGGCATAATATAAAGCATAAAGTTTTAAAAAATGTCCCTCTTGATGTTACATTTAACCGCTACCCCACTGTGTAACACTAAAACTTTCAGGCTCAGAAGTGGCAGCGGGCTATGATGATTCCAGCACCTTTGGACTACATATCACAGATGAACCAATCCACTGCAACAATTTGTTTCACATTCCTTCTTGTAGATTCTATTGAGCACCAAGATCAATAGCGTATGACAAATATTTTAGGTTTCTGTTATTAATCTTAATTGTCCCTGCAGATAATGGATGAGATGCAAATAATCCTGTATAAACACCCACACACTGCGACCATCAAACCTTTCCAATTTTTACTTGTAACTGTGGTTTAAATCTTTGGAGTCTGCCAGAGGCTACTCCAAGAACATTCTGATATTCTAGATATGTCTTGGTGGAAGTCATTTTGGCACAAAAACATGTAGAGAAAGGGAATCTTAAGAACCTCCCAGTACATTCAATGAAATTCTTGTACATGCAAGGAAACCATATACACACCTCTCTGTAAATAGACCCAACTTCTCAAAGTGATGAATGCTTTTTTCAATAAATGTTTACTATCAGTACTACTTACAGATAATTACATATATGTTACATTGCATTGCACTTCAATACGTACTAGAAATCTGTGGTTTCTGATTGCCATGCTTGGGTGAAGTTTTATTTAGCTTTGCCTCTGAAGTCAAGTTTCCTCCATCCCACCAATGTAACTGGGCAGACACAGGAACAACAGGAATTGGGGGCAGCTTCTCTCTCCAATTTGGGCCATCCTGATCTATCAACATTCTTGTTATCCTAAAGAAAAACAAGTTTTCCAACAGTTTGTAATCACATTTTTATACTGCAATAAATTGTTATTTTTACAGAGGAAAAGTTTTTAAAATAAGAAAATTTTTATAGTATTCAGTTAAATTTTAATCTTTATATTTTTTTAAATACTACACATATGTGCTCTTTACTTAGAAAGGACAAAGCATCTAAATGATCCCTTCAATATATATTCAAATATACCCAAATATGAACTTAAAAGCTGCACTATTTATCTCACTGAGTCCATTGCTGACTGCTAACTAGGGGAATTTACAAATGACCTCTGAGATAGAGTCTCCTCTTTGTATGGTACGTTGGAGAATTTCATCAGGCATAGGTGGGAATTTTGTTTCATTTTTTAAAACCAGAATTTAACAACATCCAGAAAAGTGAGAAAGCACAATTGACAGATTTCCCCATCTCTATGGACTGGGGAGAATTTCAGTTTTGATCTGGATTTATTCAAATTAGAATGCAGTAAAAAGCAAATGTGACAGATTTTACTATCCCTACATTTTACTAGAGTTTTAAAAGAAACTCAGTGATTGCAATGGTGGAAGCCAATTTGATATCCCCCGAAAGAGTATTTTAAAATCTTAATACACACACACACATTCAATTTAATTTAATTCTATAGTTTATATATTCCAGAATCCAGAATATATAATCTAGAAAAAATACTTTGCAAGCAAAGATGAATTACCAGCAGGAAGAGAAGGAGGAGGAAGAGAAGGAAGCAGTTGAAATAAGGAGATAGGTTGCCAGGAAGGGATGAGTAATAAGCAGTGAAGCAAAAAGCATAAATAAGACCTGGAAAGGAGGAAAAAGTCATTTTGTTAAGAACAACTAAACAGACAAATGGTACCCACTCATTGACTTCGTAAACAAAGACAGAAACA